GAGTTTTGGCATTACATAATTTTAGCGTTCCGTTACTTATTAGCGCTAACTAAAACGGTAACATTATTCAAGAGTAAAATTATACCTTGTAAAATATAAAGTAATAAATATAGCGTCTTTTATTACCATTTTATGTTTTATTAGATCATTAGAAGTGTAACAGTGAAAATAAAAATAAAATTATGAATATATAAATTTTAAACACCAACAATAGAGCACATAGCTATTTTTTTATTTAACAAATAAATTATAATCTAAATATATAAAATGCTAATGTTTCTGTGTCGACTCTATTGAAGTAACGACTTGCTCTAGAAAGTTGTTTTTTTTTTACTAAAAGATAGCTAATTGGCTCTTCTAAAAACTGTCGGCGCCGGATTTTTTGTTTTTCATTTAATTAAAAAAAAATAAAGAGTATTTTTTTTCCTGATGTCGTGGCGGATGCGCCAGGCTTCAACTAGTATAGTAATATGATACACTACTAATTAACTGTTAATAAAAATATTATACCGGGTGCGTATCAAAAGTGGCTCACCCCTATAACTTTTTTATTTTTTTTCATATAAAAAAACGAGATTTGGTATGTTACTATATGGCATAAATTAGGATCGATTGACGTGTTCAATTATTTTCGGCCACTTTCTGTTTCACTGGAAATGATTACAACTTTTGATTTTTAAATAGCACCCTGGGTATTTTTTACGTTATTCAATAAAAAATGACACTGAATATAATAACATATCATATGTCAACTTTTGACATATTGGCTTAAAACAAAATTGTTTTATAAATTCTTAATCTAGAGTGGCTCTGTTAAAAACACAAATTTTTAATCAAGGAGCCTTGGAGAAATAGATTTGATCATCTAATGTTTTTAGTGGCCTGTTCTGACTGGTTAAAAGATGGCCAAATCGTATTTTTAATCATAAGTCAATTTTTTTCAAATGGAACGAGGGTGGCTCATTCGCCTATTTGGACGAAAAAGAAGTTTTTACGAATAAATTGATACCACACACTTGGCATTTCGAGTCATAATATTGTTATGAACCGCATGTTACAATTTCTAATCAACCATATGCGAAAATGTCAAAAGTTGACATGTGATACGTCATTCTATTCAGAGTGTTATTTTCTATCGAATAAAATAAAAAAAATGCTAAAGGGGCTATTAAAAATAAAAGGTTGTAGTCATTTCCGTAATTTTTGTCATATACTAACATACTGAATCTTGTTTTTTATATAAAAAAATATATAAAATGTTATAGTGGTGAGCCACTTTCGAGACACACCCGGTATACTAAAATAGAAAATCCCCATTTTTTTATCTGAAAAAAAAATAAAATAGTTACAGGGTTAAATAAAAAAGTTACAGGCCACTATTGAAAAACACACCGGTTTTGCTGAAATAAAATTTAAATAAATCGACAGACCTGTTTTACTGTATAAAGGTATTTAATTATGTTCACAGTTAAAATAACAGCTGAATTATACACTCTTGTATATATATATATTTTTTTTTCCTTTTTACATTTCGGCAATTTCATGAGATAGCAACCTGCTGTATTTGTGAATATTTTCATTTTGAATCAAGTTATACTTAATATAGTCCAGTAAATTAGGACACGAAAAGACCTAACTCTCGTCTTTTTAGGCGGATTGTGTACCTTTTGAGAAGTAGTCTTAGGGGAAAAAATTGTAACATCGTGCTCGGCTAGTTATTGCCGAAAAGATGGCCCCAAATGTCCCAAAAATCAGTTTTTTGTAAATATCTGGCAAAATAGGTAATTTGCATTTTTTTTGAATAAAAAATGAAGCTTAGGTCATTATCTACAAAAAAGGTCCTGGCAGTTTTTTTCGCAAAGTCCCAGGAAAACAGTTGAAAACGGCCTTATAAGACCAAAAAATGGCTTTTCCGCCAATATTGGCCAAAATATAGCATGTAGATTATTTTCATGATCGCCAAATGAAATTTAATATTGGGTCCTTAGTTAAAAAATGATCCTGACACTTTTTTTCGTAAAGTTGTTTGTAAAAAGAAACAAATTAAATTCGACTTTGCGTGATTATGCAATTTTCTTTGGTTTACGATACTTTCCGGAAATCCCAAAAACGTGGAAAAGCCACTCACGAATAGTTGTTTTTTATTAAAATATGATTAAACAAATGCTTCAAACTTTCTTCACATTTGTTTTTTTGTCTATTAATGTTCCTGGAACAAGCCATAATAATGAACAAATGCTTTTAATTAAAAAACAATAACAAAAATAAATTATGGTCTTCTTTCCTTCTAATTGATTTTACCTAAAAATAATTTCTGTCTATTCCAAAATTAAACTACTGAGAATCTTAACGTGCTCTAAGACATACTAATTTATTTTAAATTATAAAACTACTTAAGTATTTTTAGGGCTTTCCATTTGAAAGTTTATCGTTTATCATTTAAAAAAAGGCTAAGTAATCTTTAATAAAAATCTAAAATTGAAGATTTTTCTCCAGGTTTGACTTTGATGTCTTTTAATTTAAACAGCCCGAGGAAAGTAGCGCGAAGTTCTTCGATTCAATCAAGTTGATTTCAAGATCTCTTTAAATTGAAAAGGTATCTAAATAAATTAAAAGAAATTAAATTTAGTTCGCTCTACATCAGAATATTTCTGAATAATAAATATATCTATTTTAATATTAATTAAATTTTTAAATGTCAACATTAACTGAAAATATATTTTTACCATATCATCCTCAATATAATACCTCAGTATAATAAATAATTTTACTAATTAAATGATTTCTTACTGAATTTGGTATATTTTGTCCCATTTTAAGGACACAAATAAAAAGTTTTAAACGACACAAATGTTGCATTTACTAATCTTCCGGTGTATTTGTATTAACGGTACTGATAAGAACTTAGTAGTAGTTTGTTATCAGGTTACTATTGTATTAAATAACTTGTTTATAAATTGACGGTTGTTGACAATCGAGTTCAGTTTTTTTGCGAAAAATCGCCTTTCGCACCAATACGGGATATGTTCGAGTACGTTTCCATTAAAATGGAGGAAATATTGAAGAAACCTAAAGAAGCATGATAAGCGCGTTACTTCTACCTAAAAGTGAATCAATTTCCAAAAGGAATATAAAAAATACTTTCAGTGGCTGGGACAGAAAAATATTGTAAAAAAATAAAAACGGTTTTCTTCTAAATTTGTTATATTTATGTAGCATTAATGTAAATAAATTATTAGAGTAGTTAGATGAGTGTCTATTTTCATTTTATAATATAAAATAATAATATTATAATTAATATTTTTTAACAATATTACTATTACTCAAAATTCCTATTGTATTTCATGGTTGTTACCTGTAAAATGTATATGGCATGTTAATTCTAAGTAAACCCAAGGGAGTTATAACTCTATTTATGGTTAGTGTAACCAAGACGATGTAAGAATATGTTAATTCAGTATGAAATAACATAATATTGTGGTCTATGATACACACTTTATACAGGGTCGCTTTTATGTATGGAAACGGTCGATTATTAGGTATAATATAGTAGGTATCGCAAAAAGTTAAATACAAAAGTCATAGGATTTTTAAATATCTATAAGCGAGTAATAAATTTAAGTATACAGGGTCGTTGATAAAGTCGTGGCACATCAAAGTTTCATTTTTTTAAATAGAACCCCCTGTATGTTATTACATATTTCAATTGCTCCTTCAATTCTAAACAAAAATCAAAATACACACAATGTACTTAAAACCAACTGTTTCCAAATTATTGGCTACAAAACACAGGTTTTTCAAAAAAACTTTGAAAATATCACTTAAACAATTCGATTTAATTAATTTCGACGTGTTTGGTTTGATTTAATTATGCTATTTTAGCTACTAGTAAATTTAAGTATACAGGGTCGGTCATAAAGTTGTGTCACATCAAATTTTATTTTTTTTTAAATGAAACCCCCTGTATATTATTGCATATTTCAATTCCTCCTTCAATTTTAAGCAATAATCTTAATACATAATGTACATAAATTGAAGAATTCAAATGTTAAACGAAAATTTTGTAATTCCAGGCTTGATATACCTACTCTCATTTTGTACATCTATAAATGCTAAGTTGAGAACTAATGTTAAATATTATCAGGTATCACAGTTTTCGGCAGAATGGCATCGTTAAATGAAACTCAACATGACGAAATTAATTAAATCAAATTTTTTAAGTGATATTTTCAAAAGTCAATAACTCGGAAACGGTTGGTTTGAGGTACATTGTGTGATTTCGATTTTTGCTTAGAATTGAAGGCAGAACCGAAATATGCAATAATATACAGGGGGTTCCATTTAAAAAAATGAAACTTTGATGTGTCACGACTTTATGACCGACCCTCAATATTTAAATGTATTACCCGCTAATAGATATTTATAAACCCTATAACTTTTATATTTAACTTTCTGCGGTACTTCCTATATTTTACCTAATAATCGACCGTTTCCATACATAAAAGCGACCATGTATATTCAAAATTATGTAAAGTACGTGTATTGGATCTGTGTCTATGAAAATAATGCGGACAAAAAACATTTCAATAAGCTACCTAAATAGAAGCGGGAGAGGGTCCACGCGGACTTGACGAGTTTGTCACCGCAAAACACTCTGTCCACTCATTTCATTGGCTACTTGGAAATTTGTCGAATTTTTGATTGATGGGACGAGTCGTTTAATTTTTACGAAAAACATCGAGAGAATATCGTTTCTTCCCTTACGGATGCCCTGTAGCTACAAAAATGAGAGACGTACTGTATTAAAGTAGTATTTAACGAACAATTTGTACAAACACAAATTCGTTAGTATAAAAAATTAGTATCCAAAATTAACTAAATTTATAGGATCTTTCAGTGTAATATAGAATAAATTAAACACACAGCTTAAATAGGCATTTACTTATCAGATATATATTTTATAGAATTATTTCGAATAAAGCAATGTCATTTCTTTTCAGAATCATTTGGAAAGGATAGTGGAAAGACCGGGAAAAGTAATCCAACGACACCCTCCGCTGAATCGTATGGTCAGCGGATCTGTGACAGCTCAAGATATGATCGAGAATTTGCTGAAAAAGCCCAGTCCTTTCACCACGATATTCGAGTTGAGGGAAGGTGGCACAAAAACTCTAGTCTCGAGGTAAGGGAAAGAAAATTGGTATAAAAGTAGAAAAAAAATAAAAATTAACAATTTCAAGTGAAAAAAAAACGAATTAAAATAATTTAAATTAGAATTTATAAAAGTAAAGTTTTTATTTGTATTTTGCGTTATGCATAGGCGGTCACCAATAATTGAAATATTTGGCTTGCAGTGGTATGTTAGATGTTAGGTACGTGCATGATGTTTGGTGGTTGCAGTAATATGTTAGAATATTATAGGATTAAGGTGGTTGCAGTAATATGTTAGAATATTATAGGATTAAGGATTGATACTGATGCTAAAAAAATGCTTAAAACATAAAATAAAGAGAATACTATTAACTAAATGTTCTCCAACCTAGTGTGAGTACATATCAATGTAAAACCTCTGATGAGGGGCAGGGGACTCAAGAAAACTCACAATCTTTTATGATGTTTATTTCAAAATTTAATTTGATTTAAAAATGGGGCGACATGTTGAAATGTGGTGAAAAACTTCTTGTCATTATTTTCCCAATATTTTCTGAGAATTGCTTTTCAGTTACGCCTCTTGTTTAACTTAAATTGAGTATTATTGCCCTTTCTGATTGTAATTTAGTTTTGGTTTTTCGGGTTATTAGGCCGTCGTCGGTTAGAATTGCTTCCTAACGTTTCGCTAGCACGAGTGGCTAGCATCTTCAGAGGTGTGTTTGCTCCGATTGCTCACACTAGACTGATGCCTCCGCGTCGGCGTAGCGCGTATTTATGCGTCGGCGGAGGGGGCGTGGCTTGTTCGGGTGATAATTAATTGTGATAAAAATAATTTTTTAACCTGTTTAAAAAAAAATAACTTTTTTAACTTTTTGAATTTGTGATTGTATTTTATAACCTGACCCCTGTATGACTATATTAGAATTGTTTAACTATTCTGATTGTAATTTGATTATTTTAGCTTTCTGGGCCTGAAGATGGGAATTAAATGAATCCCGAAACATGTCGCCCCATTTTTAAATCAAATTAAATTTTGAAATAAACATAATAAAAGATTGTGAGTTTTTTGAATCCCCTGCCCCTCGTCAGAGGTTTTACATTAGAATACTATTAGGGTAATAGTATTCTACGGAGAGATAAACAATTATTGAAATAGTTGGAAATCCTGCGTTATAGGATTTTAGAATTAGTGATTAGGTGCTGATGCTAAGGACCATCATATCGTCCCCTATCTCACATACTGACGTAACTCGCAATTAATAAATTTTTCAGAAGAGAAAATAAAAAAATACCTGTATTAAACCTGTTGTAGTTTTTATACCTGTGAGAGAACAGATAGGAAATTCTGAGGTTATGGGGTATTTATACGTTGTTACCTTGTTTCATTATTTGACACCTGTTTTTTTTTCTTAGCTTTTGTGTTTTTTTTTTGGAAAATATGTAGATATGTCATTTTATGTTTTTTTTTATTGGCATGTTGGATACGTCATATTACTTTTTTGCATGTGAAGTCATTATTAAGAAAAAAAACTATGTAAGTTGTATTTTATTCAAATAAAAAACTATGTAAGTTCAAATAAAAAAATAAGTTTTTAACAGATCTAATATTGGTAACTATAATTTCTATAAAAAATATCGATCGAATTTTTTTAGAAAATTATATCAATGCATTTACGTCAGTGTTTAGGGTTTATGCAAATAATTTAAAGGATATAGTAATTTTGACCACAAAAACACGTCTATTTAGTTTGTTCGCGCAAAAAAAATAATATATGGGATTTTTGAAAAAAAAATGGATTTTTTTAAAATTTTTAGTTAAAAACCATAATATCCTCATAATGTGGTAAGATAGGTAGTAGACTGACATAGGTAGTAGAGACTTCTCAAAATTTAAGCGAAAAATCAGTTTTTTTTTAATTTACAAAATAATTCGGTTATTTTGGACTTATTTGAAAAAAGGGTAGAAAGAAAAATTGTATCATTTATCGAGATCTATTAGCCATAAAAATATTTGCACTTATTTAAGACTCACCGTGTATATTCTTAACAATGTAGTCAGACGGTTAGTTTTAAAAATCTCTTGAAAAAGGCCTAACAAGCCTAAACATACCGGGTGCATCTCAAAAGTGGCTGCCCCTATAAGTTATTTTTTTCAGGTAAAAAACGAGATTTGGTATGTTTGGATATGACATAAATTAGGTATGATTGATGTATTCAATTCTTTTCGACCACTTCCTGTTTCAGCGGAAATGACTACAACTTTTGATTTTTAAATGGCACCCATGGTATTTTGTACTTTATTTGATAGAAAATGACATTCTGAATAAAACGATGTATTATATGTCAACTTTTAACATTTTCCCTTAAAACAAAATTGAATTTTAAATTTGTGTGTAAACAAAGGCTGTGTTAAAAACACTAATTTTTAATCAAGGAGCCTTGGAAAAATAGATTTGATCGTCTAAAGTTATTTGTGTCTTGCCCTAGCTGGTTAAAATATGCCCAAATCGTATTTGTAATCATATCTCAATTTTTTCAAATGGAACGAGGGTGGCTCATTAGCATATTTGGAAAACGATTTTTTTTACGAATAATTTGGTACCACACGTTTGGTATTTCGAGTCAATTTCAATCAAACCAAATTCGAAAATCTAAAAAGTTTAGATATGATATGATATTCTATTCAGATTGTCATTTTCTGTCGAACAAAGTAACAAAATATGGAGGGTGCCATTTAAAAATCAAAAGTTGTAGTAATTTCCGGTGAAACAGGAAGTGACCAAAAACAATTGAATACGTTATTCAATCCTAATTTATGTCATAAACTAATATACCAAATCTTCATTTTTTATCTGAAAAAATAGAAAAGTTATAGGGGTCAGCCACTTTTGAGACACACCCGGTATATAGAGATAAAGTTACTCTCATTAAATTTTGATACATCTAAAAGCGTGTTTCATTAAAACACTAATATTTTAAAGATGTTTCACAAGGAACCAACCACAGACTCAGTTCTATTTATTAAAATTATTCAATAATAAAATTAGAAAATTTTCAATAACCTACACACTGTATCTATGATACAAAGCAGAATCGGACCTATGTTGATATGAAAAATAGATAATATAATAGCTCCCGTACATAGCGTTTAACGCCTTGGGAGTAGCAAGGTACACGGTACACCTTGCTATACTAGAGCCGTTCGGTATACAAGGAACGTAATGTGGCTAGCACTACGCTTCAACCGCCTATTATTACCTCAGGATTGTGAATCCCAAGTACTCATTTAAGGCTGAGTCGACCTAGGTACCCAAACTATTTTTATTTTAATAAAAATAGTCGGCTGATGAAATGCCGGGTGTGGGAATCGAACCCACACCTTGAGAGAGTGTACCTCTACGCCACCGGGCACCTTTGAAAAATAAATCATATTATTTTTACGTGAGGAATCTCCCTACGAGAGATGGCACATGCTTTCTAAAAATATATATATTTTATAAAACAAATTTATAAATATCGTCGAAATATTAATGATATTATTTAAATTTTGTTTTGTTTTGACGCTAATGATAACAGTCGATAAAAAAATATTTGAATTTCTTAAATTTATTGCAAACCAAACGAGCTAGTGAGGTAAAATATTGTATTAATCACTAGTATAATTCTCCGAAGATTTCAGTAATATATTTCTTTTATGACAGTGTCTTTAGAAATTCGTAGGGTTGTTTCAATCTAAAACAAGTAAGTTATTAGTACAGGGTGGCGCCTCTCATACGATGCGGAGGCTCCATGGAGAACGATAGTTTGTATTGAAATGAAATTTGGTGAGTATATTTAGGTTAATTAGAGCACTTTTTAAAAATATATAGTTCTACAGGGTGTCCCCAAAAAAAGTTACACATTGTAGACGTTGTTTTTGTAAACATTGTACGTTAAATTAACAAACGGTATATCACAGCCACCTAGACTTTTTCAAATGATAAAGATCTACTGTCGCAAAATCAGAAAAATCAAAATATCTAGGAAAATCTTTGTTTGAGGGATAGGCAACCTTAATAATATTTTGAAGATACATGAATTCTCCACTGAACACCGGAATAATATACTGGATGTTCTGTTTACAATAAAGAAGTAACTTGCTTTTAAATGTGACCAATGTTCAATATTAATTTTGTCTCACCCTGTATAACTTTTCGGGTAAAATTTTAATTTGGTTTAACATACAATGGTTATTGTAATTAAATATCAGGCTATAAATTACAATTTAGGTAGCTGTTATTGAAATTTAAAATTTATTTTTCATTTTCACCAAATGTGAAATATGCCAAAATCCTTGAGTTTTAGGCATATGCTTTATTAATTAAACTCACCTTTATTTTTTACCTAGAATCCGAAAATCAATTAATATATAGGGTGTTCCATTGCAAAAAACATAACTTTGATGCGCAATTTCACAAAAAGTGTTCTTCAGTATACTTCAAAATGAATGGGACATCCTCGAGGGAACTAATATACTTAGATCACATATGCCACTTCTTAATCTGTATCAAAATATACAGGGTGGCGCACCTCATTCGCCTCGGTTGATTATACGAAAACGGAAAGATGTAGAAACAAAATATTTTATGGGTATATGTGGGGAGGTAATGTGCACAATTTAAAATTATTTTGAAATGTACAAGGTGTTCCAGAACTAAGATCCATACCAAAGTTACATTTTTTCTTATGGAACACCGGGTATTTCATTTCATCTTTGGATTCTTGGGCCCAAAAAAAAGGTATTTATTATAAGGGTTAAATATGTTTAAAATCTTTGGTTTTTGCGATATGGAAAGATATTTAAATTTGCATACTACAGTAGAATAGAGGAGAGAATAGATCATTAACACCCTGTACATTACTTTTCAGAATTAATTCTTGTGCTGAGTTTAAAGGTAGAGAAATAAATTTTACAGAAAAATATTATTCCTTCCTTAAATGTATACAGGGGTATCAAAAATTGCTGGTCTATTTTAAATATTTATTTTACAT